CCTTAATAAGTGTCCAGATTCGTGTTTTCTTTATTTACGCTAACCGGACACATATATCTAACGCGGACAAATGCAATAAGTATAATACAACCAGCTGCGCAAAAGACAACGAAATTGTTTCGTACCAGCGTATCCTTTTGTAAAAAAAAAAAAAAAGAGGACTAGAATTAGTTTCTCTTTTTTCTTCGGCGTTCGCGAAATGTTTAAATTTTAAATGAATGTCGAGCTCGGAAATTGTGGTACGCAACAGCATCATCGTCTTCGAGTGTACAGGATATTAAAAAATTCTATATATAATATATCTATATATATATATAAAAAAAACACGCGTCGAAACAATAAGAGACGGTAAGCGATATTCACACTCTACACTATCATTAAAAAAATTCATCAGTATCCCTCTCTCTCTTTTTACATTAACAAAAAACAAATATACGAAAAAAATACGTAAAATAAACAGTTTATAAATAAACAATGACATCTATAGATAAAGAAAATATAACAAACAATTTTTTTCTCACTTCAATTCTATGCGTTATTCCGCCAGACGGATTCGGCTATTCGTTTCGTATAAATATCATTTTTTTCCTTTTTTTTTCAACCGATATATATCGTGAAGAATATAAGGTAATATAATATTTAAATTTTGCCAATAGAAATTCGCTTACAGATAATACGATGTGATTTACGCTGCATATCCCACGCTCTCTCTCTATCTTTTTCGTTCCCTTTCTCTCCTGCTAACATTCTCACATACACACGCACATTTTCTCTCTCTCTTCTTCTCTCTTCCTGGCATTCACATCTCAGTGTCTCATCATCACTCTCGCACACATGCAATCATGTTGATTCTCAAGCTGATCATCTCCCCTGCTATTCATACGCGCACATTAAATGTTACTACATTGTTTAATCAATGTTTTGAGCCACACTTTAGTGTCCTTTTTTCATATTTCTTAATTCGGATAAGAGAAGTCCTCGCGCGGGGGTTTGGATGATGATGAGGGGGATGGAGAAGAGGTTGGAGGGAGTTGCTTCAATAAATATTCTTGCTTCAAACGTCAAACAACCGGCCGTGCATGGCCACGCGAATTCAAGAAAGACGTGTACGCGAGTTTGGCAAGTCGGGCAATTGTACTATTATAACATATTATTACATGTATGTATGTATGTATGTGTATGCGTGCTTCCTTTTTTAACCTCTCGGTATAATTATAATATCTAATTGGTACTATCAATTCGATATAGTACATCTACGATATTGGTAAAGATTAGAACAAGTAAATGGCAGAGAGGTAGAAGCGGAAAAGAGAGAAGAAAAGGGGATGGACGAAGGAGAAGGGTAAATCTCAAAGGGTAGAGGGAAAAAGAGGGTGAGAGGAAGCGTTATGAACGTTATATGATATGATTACGCGTCTCAGTTATTTGGAATAATATTCTATATAACCATATAGAGAGTTGCTGCAGCTAGCTTAGAGATAAGCCGAGAGAAAAGCTTCATATGTGGACGGCGCCCGCACAATTTTTTCTTCTTTTTAGTCTAAAGTTTCCGCCTTATATATCTCTACTCTGCTCTCTTCTGACCCGCGCGAAAGATTCGAGAAGGGACCGTCTCATTGATCAGAATATAAAAGACGCATATACTTTTTAATTCGCGTGAATTAAATCTTTACAGCGTTTCTTATCAGCAATTTCCAAACAAGAGTCATTCTTCCTTTTTTTTTTTTTAATTACTCGTATACTTCTTGTAAAAATATACAGCACTCTTGAAAATTTCTCGGTTAAAAAATGGTAATTTATAAATATAGTCGATTAATAAAAGAAATTTTACATTAAACTCGAAATAACTCCGATTGTAATCGATAAAAAGAATAAAAATTTTTTTCGAGTCTCTGTCAAAGAGAATCGCGTATAAAAGAGGGGGAAAAATATACTGATCCTCGTCGTCGATCCATTTCTCAAGTCCGACGCTGCCGGTCGATGCCTGACGTATTAATATATGCGCGCCAAAAAACCGGCGCGACTTTGTAACGTCAAAATGCCACAGGCCGCCTTTATTCGCCGCGCCTCGCTTAGTTAAGATTTAATGTATGTATATCGTACGTAGAAACACTAACACGGCCGTTCCATAAATCTTCACCGCTCTTGTGTACTGTACAAACTCCTCCGGAGAGACTAAGTTTAATAATAATTATTATTATTACGCATTATTACGTATATCTCTAATTTGTCGGACGTATCGGCGCCGCCATCGTCGCAGTACTTGCTGCTACCGCGTCACTTAATAATTAACGGTGTGTGTTTGCGGTTATAACATCAAAACATAACTAAGCAATATAATAATGGCAATAACTCATAATTCATAATAATAATAATAATAATAATAATAATAATATATGAGTATAAGTGCCAGCAGGTTCGCCTTGTAGACGTCAAGACTACAGGGCGGACCTGAGAAGCGAATTTCAAAAACAAAATAATAATAATAATAATAATAATAATAATGATGATGATAATGATAATAATATAATAATAATAATAATAGTTCGTAAATATATATGTATATGTATATATAGAGTCATGTGTTTCTATAAAGCTTTTCTACAAATAGATACACCGATTTTCTCGGGGCTAATCGCGTCACATGCGTCTTTCTCACTTCTCGATTCCACGATATTACTTCTTTTTTTTGTTCCGTATACAATGAGCCGGAGTAGATTTAGGCGCGATAATACTTTTCTTTTTTTTTCAGTTCGACATTCCGACAGAACAACCGAAAGATCCTTTGGGCTACGGCCACGAAATATACAATAATTACTTGTTGCGTACTCTTAACACGATAACAGATTACGTCGAGTGGAACCGATATACGACTATGTTGCGTTATCTCATAATTTTTCTGTATATCTCTGCGTAAGCCGAGAGCACAAGCATGAAATATGGTCCAAAGTATAATTTATATCGCAAACATATTGATAAACAATAAAAAAATATATTTTTGATATAAATAATCTGAACGTTAATTAATGTAAGGATTTAATCAATTATAATTTTTGCATGAATAGTCTCTTATGTGTCTGTCTGTGAAAGTACCATGAAATATAGAGAATATTTCTTGAAACTAACAAGTTTCGTGATTATAATAGATAAAATATTTTCGAAGTCTTTCAAATATAAAATGATAAATAATCGATGGATTTTAGCAAAAATTAATACTCTTAATTATTAAGTATTAAGTATATTTTACAAAATGCATCGTATTATGACCAATTTTTCTCTCGTAAATAAATTCATACTTTATGATATAAATAATTAATCTAAATAAATATTGACGTAATCATCATTACGAAAGATGCACTATTATAGCACACTTAAGAGACGGTACGAACTTTTTAGCCAGAAATAATATGAAGTGTATATACGTATACCTCTTTCTCTCTAAATATTTTAATTATAATTATACCGAGTGGTTATAATATTCGCGTAGATATAAACGACCATATTTCTGCGAATGCTCCCTCGCTCTCATTATGTGCTCAGACTTAATTTCTGCAAAACTGTTTAATCTTACACACGCATATATTACGTTCTACCTTCATTCTTTTTTTTTTGCACATTACATGTTAAAACATTATTACGATATTACGGTATGTAGGTAGGTACTTCGCTATGTGGGGAGATATTTTTTACGTGAGTACATCAGTTTACGCGGTTACTCACATACGCAGCTTAATCATTACATTACGTATGGGGAATATTATTTATAGTATTACTTTTATAGTTTAGGTAATTAGAGGATAAAGTACTAATACGAATATATGAGTTTTTTCTTCCTTTTTTAATTTAAAATGTGCTTTCTTGCTTTGATTACGGACGTACTATTTTGTTGGAGCTGCTCGTCGTCATTTATGCTGCTTTTTATTCAAGTTAAATTAACAAGGTATCTCTTCTCCCTTAATTTACGTACTTTGCGTTTAAACGTATGCTAAAATGTCATCGCGCCAGCGAAAAAGTCTACCTTGATGCGCGATACAACAGATTTTTCATTTTCTTTTGTTTGTTTTTTCTCATTACATTATATATAATATAGTACTTCTTACTTTTAATAATATATATTATGTGGTATATTGTGTACAATATATGTTTTTTACGTCGTTATATATTACTAGGCGATCTGTGCAATAGATCTTGTCGGGAATCTAAAAAGATGTGATTTTTGCCACACATTTTACGTATATTTTTATTTGTTAAAATTTCTCTTTCGATTAAAATCTCATCTCTTTAACGATGAATGTAATATACCATATATATATATATATATATATATATATATATTTAATATATATATTTTGCTTATTCTTCTTTACATTCAATATTAAATAATACATATTCTAAATATATACTTTATATATTAATGTATAATATTATATATATATTTAATATTAAATAATATTACATAAATATTATTTAATATATATTGTATTATTTAATAATATATGTATTTTTTAAATATATATATGCAATATATATACATATTTTATTTTACCTTTCTTACGTAATTTTCTTACGTAATAATAATTATAAAATTGATAGAATATATTGCAGTTTAGCATTAAACGACAATGTGTTTTCTTCTATCGATTTTATCATTATTAAAAACAGCTATAGTTAGCTACGAATGAAATTTAGTCGAAACTTTATTTTTGACAAAAATCAAGATCTTTGCATCGATCGCGCTAACATGGAGGAGAAAAAAATAATTGGGTAATAATTTATATATCTCGGTTACTTTTTCCACGTGTTTTACGCTTACCTTTCTTTTTTCTTTTTTACGAACTCTAAGTAAGTAATACCAACAACGGGTTCTATATATCTATGGAAAGGTCTACCCTGACACCAAATTACGTATTTAATGTACTAAGAGTGAGATACTCGTCCGGGTGATGTGGCTCGTGTTTCTAGTACATATGTGTACGAATGTGTGTACAATGTATATTTTATTTTTTTTTCCATAACTCTCTGTTTCACGTTTTTATCAAAGCCAGTATACACTCATATAAACATCTACGTATAATTTCTAACAAAACGCAGAAGAATAACTTAAGACTGTGCAAACTGAAACAATCAAAAAAGTAAAACGTTATATAAATTATGTTATAGAATCTAACAACCGTAAAATTTTTCACATGAATATTTTACTTTAATAATCAATACCTTTCTTCTCGCAATGAATAAATGATCAAAATGTGTATGTGTACTTGTATACATATAAGTGCATTCTGTCTATCAACACGGCAGGATGATCGAGATAATTACTCTTTGTTGAACTCTTGGCAAATTTGAATCGCCAAATGTATATTGTACAGTTATTATACTATCACCATGCCTAGAAACAACATTCAGAAAGATTTATTCTCGAGATTCAATATTAATATGCTCACGGCATGTCATATCATTTTTTCATCACGTTTCCTTAAATTGTTCGGTACAATTTGCGAATTTGAATGACGATTTTATTGCTCATGAGATAGGATATTACTTTTTTAGTCACATTGGTAAAAAAATAAATATTCTAAATTTTTTTATTGTGTCGGATCTAAAATAATTTATTATATACTTCATTGACAAAAAGTTTTTATTTATTGTAATTTGTGTCTGAATTGACGTATATTTTAAAAGGGCTGACAAATTAAAAAATGTTTCGCTTTTTCGTTTTACGAATATAGATTATTTTTCATCGTTTAATTAAATTAAACGCGATCGAAAGAAGAGCCTGAAAATTCAAATTTTGTAACATTAAACATATTATTCATATGTATTACTGTACAATTTGTAAAATCAGATTCCTTTTTTCAAGTGTATATGTGTGTGTGTGTGTGTGTGTAAATGTACGTGTGTAAGTATACATGTATGTATGTGTGAGACAGAATTATGCAAACTTTTTTTTATAAAATTCATATTATAGATTTAAAAAAAAAGTTACAAATATCTAATGACTAATAAATCGAGAATTATGCTAATTTTTTTTTCATAAAATTCATATTATAGATTAAAAAAAAGTTACAAATCTATCTAATGGCCAATGACTAATCTCTATTCTTTCCACGAAAAACTTTGACATTTTAATAAAGTCGGCACTAATAACGTCGAAGCTAACTCGTTTGAAAAGTAAAGTGCTCACAAATACTGTTGAATCTGTCGAAGTAAGCGATACAAAAAAAAAAAAAAAATAATTGATGTGTGTACGCCAGAGTTACTTACAATTTGAGCCCGATATCAAATTATGGATATCGTAGATATACTTGAAGTCCGCAATCGCGCGAGAGACACGTTGTTCGTTGTTTGACCACGAAAAGGTCGCGAAATTTTGCGCCTCTTTAAATTTCCATTTTTTTGCAATCACACGAAGGAAGCAAGAAAAACTTTATTCGTGTGACGTTGAAGATTAAACGACTCAACCATCGAGAACGATAAAGTGGTTATCTGGAAATCGCTTCATCGTTTTTTTCCTCCGTACAATGTATTGAAATAGAACGGAGGAAGATGTTAGCTGAACTTGAAAATTCACATATATGAAAAGCTATGGCTCAGCCATATATGGTAAGATCAGCTAAATCTTCATCGATGTTTTAGAGCGATTAATCTTCGCCGTCATACAATTGGTGAACTCCACGACGTTAACTCGTTTCGCAGCTTGGCAAAGTCACTTACTTCCTTCTTTCAAAGTTCGATCAATTAATTCGATTAATTAGTACTGGTTGTCGTGGTTGATAAATTCGATTGGCCGGCCATACGACCATTAATCCTTCAGTTTCGGCCCATTTAACTAGTCTACTCGTTACCACGTAATAAAACGTGGCTCTGTCCATGGCAGTATCACGCCAATTCGTGCGTTCGTCGCGTGCGATAATGGCTCATTGTGTAGCACCCGATTAACAATATACATTTTTTTTACGTTCTAGGAATCAGTCACAGGCTGAACCCCGAGAGAAAATTTCGCTCCACGGAGGCTAGCCAAGTAAGTACGTAGCTGGGGGATAGGGTGCGTTCTCATTCTCTATATATGCTTTCAGAGTTCCTTCTCTACTGTAATGTCTACGTATTTCTTTTTTTCTCTTGTATAGAAAAACAAAAGGGAGAACCGACTCAGCAAGGCGTTCGTCGTACCTTTCTCTGCCCGGAGAAGACTGCGCGCTCCGTCTTCTTTCTCTCTCTCCTCAACAGGCCTCCTAAATTCTCTTCCATCTTCTCCACCTCGATACAAGACCGGTGATCACGAGGCACCGAAAGCACCGAAGAAGATCGCAAAAATCTTTCGCATCGTATGTTTCGTACCTGTTTTCCCGCGTGCGAAGGCGTGTGAGAGGGAGAGAACTCAGGATCTCCTTACCATAGCCGTGTTTACCAACTACTTCGCTTCGGAGTCTTCGTCCAGGCCGCTCCAGTCTCTTGTGTCTTCCTTAAAAGAAAGAGAGTCGGCTCAGTAAGGTATCCTATGTGGGTACCTTACTGACTGCCTTCAGAAGATCGCTTTGCGTCTTTTCCAAGCCGCTTACGTGATGCTGCTGCTGATGCTGAAGGGCGGCGCTCTGCTGCTCCTGCTGCAACTTGGCCTGTTTCTCCGCCTGCTGTTTCTTCATCATGTCTTGCTCCTCGCGTTCGCGTCTGGCCTGCTCGTTGATCTCTTTAACCGCTCTCAACTCCTTTTTCAGCTTCATTCGCCGATTTTGAAACCAGATCTTGATCTGTCGTTCCGTCAGGCAGAGCGCATGGGCGATCTCTATTCGTCGCCGTCGCGTCAGATAGTGATTGAAATGAAATTCTTTTTCTAATTCCAGCGTTTGGAACCGCGTGTACGTTTGCCGGCCTCTGCGCCTTGGACAGCCGTTCGGACCTGAAAATGTTAACAAATCTAATTTTTGAGTCTCCAGGAGATTTTTAGACACACTTTTCAGAAGACGGACTGAAACGTCAACGCGCAAACGAATTGATGCTATATGTGAGACGATATTTTCTCTGATATTGTATTTATTAGCGTCACATATTCGTTGAAAAATATACTCTGTCAAATATTTATGTATAAATTAATTATAAAAATTATAAATTTTGCAAATGTAAGATACATATTTAATTATTTATATTCCATATTTCTCTCTCAAGAATATAAATTGTATTACGTAAATGTATTACGCTTTTGATAACATTTTATTTGGAAAAGATTGTCCCTAAATCGTAAACCGCAATCTTTTGTTAAGTGACAATACTCTTTTGTCAGCCCCTCAATAAACCGACAGGTATCGCATTTCCACAAATCTAAACTCTCTCCTCACTTTCTCTCATCGAAAAAAAAAATACGAACTTTTGCGGGCAGTTTTATTGCGACGTCGGAAAAAAAGGTAAAAAAAGAACGCGAAACAATAGATGCCATTCGGAAAGTTCTAACTCGCAAAACCCTTTCTGTATATAAGACACGCTACTTTATTCGCCTTTACTTTCTCCAATAATTTATGTCATATAAACAGAAAGTCAATCATTTAAAATTTTTTTGTTCGTGTTTAGGGTTAAGAACCTAAAAAGGGTTAAAAACCTAAAAAGGGTTAAAAACCTAAAAAGGTTGTAAATTTTGTGATATAAGATTTATATACATCTGCGAAATGTCAGATCCAGATGGATCTTCGCGACAGCTGAATGTAATCAAATGACACAATACTGTCATCGATATAAAAATATTAAAAAAAAAACAGTAATAATCATGTAATAATTAATTAATGCTAGTGAGATAAATTGAAGATAACTGCATTTAAAACGGGAAAAGGATATTTTAAATGCTATAATAATGTCACAGCTAAATTTTGAACGTATTTTCGCAATCAATTCGAAAGTAACTTCACTTTCAGTTGTTGTCACGAACGAAGTGCGTACTCTTCGGTAAATCGCTGAAGAGAACCGGTTCCTTAGCGCAAAGAACGGAGACAGCTATAATACAATCATTCGCGGAGCGACGCTGAGTGGCCATATTATTGCCTCGTGATGAAGCAAATGCGTGCTACTGACCAATAAAAGATAGCAAGACTTTTCGTTTCCCCCCGTTTATTTCGCGAACAACGGAAGATGTATCGGTTAAATCCAGTTATCGTATCAATTATTATATTAAAATTCTTTGGGAGGAAGATAACAATTAGTCTCAAATACTTAATTTAGAGTTTAACTATAGACAATCGTGATGAAGGACATACTGTACGCGCAGGACACACATTCTATAAATAGATTCATTTCCGTAAATAAATAATCCTGAAGAAGCGTAATGATATTCCTAAAAAGACAGTAAAGTGCTATTCATGAGAGATCGATTAGCAAGCGATAGCAATTTGTGTTGAATTTATAGGCGAACGTGATCCGGTTACACCTCGCGGATTAGAATGTATCGAGGAATTAGATTAACAAATAGGCGAGCACGCAGAGTAGGGAGTGAGGACGCATTATCCGTACGACAGATTTAAACGTAGCGGCGCCATATTTTCCATCTCCTGTCATAACGATCGGTCGTGCGGTGGCGCTCGAATGACACGCACGTGCGCAATTTCCGATGCAGGATGACCCATGAAATACGTATCGCCCCGGAGCAGAAAACTCTTGGAGAATGCAGAGAATGCTGATATTGAATTCAGCATGGCCGTTCTCTCGCAGGCGCGGGTCCAAGCGCCAGAGCGCGTATATATACATACCTGAATCAGCGACCGCACACTCACGAATTCCGCTCTTTCGCGCACGTGTGTAGGTAGTAGACGGGCGTCCGTATTGGCGCGAATCAACACGGTTTTTAGCGGCGTCGCTACGTGTGCGTCAGTTTGGCACACGTACATCCGCTGCAGCCACCACCGGGGTGGTTACCGCGAAGCCCGAAGGGTGGGACATAGGTTACCTTGGCAACCAGAGGGGAAACCATTCCATCCTCCCGGCGGCATATCACGCGAGAGAGGCCAAGCCTAGCAGAGCAGAGCAGAGCTACCAGAAAACTCTCTCTTGCATCCTCTCTACCGCCTCTCGACCCTACATACGAGAAAGAGAGAGAGAGAGATGAAAGACCAGCCGCGCGCGTACACGTCGTACTCTTAGGAAGACGGGTGAACTTGATTGCGCCCACTCCATTCGCCATAAATATGGCCCATCGGCGAAGTGCTGGCGCGAGCATTATCAATAATTTCGACGCGGAGAACTAATGCCGAGAGGGAGAGGGGTGTGTCAGAATTTATTTGGCGAGAGAATAAAGTCGACTGAGGTGACGGCGAGGCTTATCCGGGCGGCTGTGATATTTGTTCGATGGGAGAATAACAAGAGGCTAAATTTTCCAAAGACACAAAGGAGAAATATTTTCGAAGAATGCGATAGACTTCTTTTTTTTTATACAAAAAAAATGTAAAAAAAATCGGAATTTTCCACTATCGAGAGTACCTACTATCGGAGAAAGCTTATCTATATGAAGAAGCGTTAATTAGCGTTTTGCCGCAAACGATTCCGAGACAAATAAATTATAGTCAATTGTCGGTGGTCCATTGCCACCCTACAGAAGGGCGGCTACAATGGGATGCGCCATTACGGATGGCACAGGCCTGTGTCTAATTACGGTCATATACTAAGTTTAATATCTGCTTTAGGTCTACTTTAGCACGCACCTCGGGATTTGGGGAACAATCGTGGATATTGTGGAAGTTTGTCATGCCATGTGCCCGCTGTGTTCCATGTATAACTCTACTACGTATCCCTTCATGTTTAATCAAATTGTTCTCGCCCACGCCACTTTTTCGAATAGCTCTGCCTACAGATTTATTGTCCCCTCTATATTACAAAATAAATTGATATACGACATTCGTATCCCATTTCTTCGATATTTTTTAGACCTTCGCGTCTAAAGTCCAAGTCTAAATAAAATACGATTATTCCAATTTTATAAATAATTTATCAATTTCTCCCCATCTCTTTCATATCTGTCAAATTATACCAGAGTCTCGTCGCCGTTTTGTATTGTCAAATGCAATGCAAATGCTCTCAGTTTCACGAAAACGATTTTAAGACCGATGCTTTTAGATCTTGACTTATTAACGACGTCGTGCTTCGATTAAGCTCCGATTAGGATCGCGCTGCTAAACATTCCAGAGGATAGCGTCACGTGGCATCGGCGTTCTAAGATTAGCTCCTAGCTCTCCTATAGACTACATCGATCGCGGCGGGAAAAAAAAAATTTCGAGCGAACGTAGCGTGACAGAAGAAACGCAGCGCGGCGGTTCGTCGGCCGCGAAATGTCACGCGCGAAGCGGAGGAAAGATAGATTTTCGGAGAGACGTCGCGACGTCGCCCGGATTTGACAGCACCTGCAAATCGCGGGGACCCTCTTCGTTGGCTCGCATCAGACGCATCGCGTTTATACGGTCTGAAATTCTCTTTGTTCGACCGCGCCGCGCCGGAGGAACCATGCGTGAGCCCCTTCTCATAGCGATCCATTCATAAATATCTCAAAACGGCTTAATTTCGCGGCGCTGCGGGCGAATAAAATCTCGAGCCGGTGAAAAATGTAGACAGTTCGCCAGATGAAGGGGGAAAGACGACGGCGAGAAGTGAGGGACGATACGGCGTAGCCACGACCCACGGGTTCGCTTGATCGTCGTCTCGGGTCACTGCAACCTCTGCCAGAACGATAGAGTTGGCCGATCGGGTAGGAGGCATGTTAAAGGAAGGAGGGAATAGAGGTGGAATGCGACTCTGCGAAAGAGAGGGAGAGAAAGATGAGAGAGTGGAAGAGATATGTAAAGGAACGAGAGAGGAATGGAGAGTGCCAAGAGAGGAAAAATGCCCACGATAACTCCACCGTCCGTTCCGTCGCGATTCCGACCGCGATTTATATGGCTAATCCCCGCGCTTTTTCTTGCCTCTCCGCATCTGCATCTCGCCAGGTATCCGGTTCGACTCTAATTCAAGGCCGTTCGCCAATTATTCAGCTGCGCTAGACACATATATAATCACGTGCAAAGAAATTTATGTAGATGTATATATGTATATAATAAATGTATAATGAAGCACTAAATCTGATCGTTGTTGACTGAACTCTTTCTTGGCAAGTTGAGTTCGTTGCGATGTTATTATCACGAGGTTGTAGCGCGTCATTGAGAACATAATCATGAAAAATTCGAATCTGACGACCGAGAAAAGCGTAGTAGTCGCGTATATGGAATTTGCTGACGGTGTTATAATTTCTATGCCGTAACTGATAACACCGACATTTTTCTATCGCAATGTCATGAAAACAAAATAATATTCTTGACATTTATTACCAATAATATGCAATTCATTCGATCTGTCTAACATCATGATGGAAAAAAACGCGTTACATAAATTTTGTATGTATAAAGTCTCCGTTTGCACGTGATTATATTGTAAACAGAACCAGAAAGAAGAAACCTAATTTAATCTCCTTTAATTTAACTAAAATGTACCATTACGTTCTATTATTTATGAGTGCATAATTTTCGAATTCCGATATATTTCGAAAATAAATTGCCAAGTTGCTTATAAGAGTATATCAATGACATACTTTCCTTTTGAAAGAAATCACTATTGCTAATACAATCTTACAAAATGCAACACGATTTAGACAATTACCCTATTTCGAAACCAAACTAAACAATATTATTTTCGTTATTTATTCATCATAAATTTCGTCACCAAAATATCCTATTCTAGCATTTTATTTTTGTGAATTCAAAAAAATAAAGTTAAAATCCGATTTCGTATTAAGAAAAATTCTAAATTTTTTTATAAATAATTTTAAATTGAGAAATGTTTTTTATATATAAAAATAAAAATTCCCATTTTAATCCATTGTGTAATTTTCAAAGAAAA